GAGCTGTCTTCACAGTCAGGAATCCCTGGATTTAAATCCCACCACTGAGCTATACTCATTGTGTTATCCTGGGCAGGTCACTTAACCTCTCAGAGCACTAGATAGCTTCTATGACTCTAAATTACAGACGAGGTGCAGACATGCTTTGGTAGAGGGATTTTTCTTACCTGGGAGTTCTCCAAACCTATGAACTCACAGGTCCATTGCCTATCCCTATGTGAATCTATTGGAGATGTAAAATAGAAAGGTACCATGATTCCTAGTTGAGGTGTACAGATGCCACCAAAAATAACTCAGACCTCACCTCTCTACTCCTATATTTGGAATCAGCTTTTTGCCCAAATCTTTATTTCCCCATGACCTTTATCACGATCAAGTTGCCTACTCTTTACTTTTTTCTTAAGTTGATTAAATTTAATAGAGATAAATTAAAAGTCATATGCTCAACTTTAAAAAATCAACTGTACTGCAATAGGATGGAGAAAATAGCTAGACAATTCATATGAAAATATGGAAAGATCCAGTGGGCTTAGTGGGCCCCAAGTTTAGTATGAGTGAGCAATGGGATAGATTGCATTGATCCAAATATTCATATATTATATCATTAATATACATATTCCTTGTATTATTCATATATTCAATATATTATTCATCATATATGTTCATTATATTATTCATATATTATATCAAATATTCATTATTTGTGCCCAACTTGTGGTAGAGCTTTCCAAGCTCATAATGGTCTGATCAGCCATAGTCAGACACACCGTACCTTGACCCCAATGTAGTGATGTCATTTTGGTTCTCTTTGAGCACAAACCAGGTTGCATTAATAGAGGCAGAGTATCCAAAATGAGGAGAAGGTGGCTTCACTGTACTGCATAATCATTACCACATCTGAAGTATAGTACCCACTTCCTGTCTAGCACATTTTAGGGAGGACATTGACAAAATGAAGCACGTTCAGCAGAGGACAACACAGATGTTGAGAGCCCTAGAAACCACGTTCTAAGAGGGTCAGTTGAAGGAATTTGGGATGTTTAGCTCACAGAGTCTGGAATGTTTAGCCCGGTGAATAAAAGATTTGGAATATAACAGCTACTTTAAAGCATGTGAAAGGCTGTCTGGAAGAAGGACTAGACCTGTTCTGTTAGACTCAGGGAGCAGAACTAGATGTAGTGGGTAAAAGTCATGGTTAGGCAGGGTGGATGTAATCTTTGTGAGCTGCCTCAGTTTCCCATCATTGGAGATCTTCATGTAGGGACCAGACGATGATTTGTGAGCATTGTAAAGGAGATTCCTGTTCAAGAACTAGTTGAACTGGATGACCCCTGAGATCTTTCCAATTGAGATTCTATTTATTATTGTATTTACTGAATCAAATTATATGCTCTTCTCATTAATTTCAAAGCAAACATTTTCTAATTTTTTTTATTTATTTCTCTTTCTTTTCTCAATTTAAAGTTGCTTGTTCTTATTTTCTGTGGTATTCCATTGATTTTTGCAAATCAAATAACCTGTTTATATCCTTCAAATTTTTTTTGTAGGAATGCTTCAAATGCCTCTCTTTTATTGAACATCCATATTTTTTCATCTATGATTAGACTTAGATTTGTAGGGCATGTCACTTTGGGTTGCATCTGGAGCATCTTTTCTTTTTGGAATATATTATTTCATTCCTTTCTGTTGTTTCTAGTGGGTACTGAATGGTATTGTGTTAGCCTAATTTCTTTTCCTTTGTATTCAAAGGTATTTCTCTTACTTGTTTGCAGAATCTGTTGCATGCTGAGTTGCAACTTTGAAAATACATTAGATGATGAGCTGTGAATGGCATTTCTATTCTCAGCAATACAATGATCCAAGACAGCTCTGAAGGACTTATGATGAAAAATTCTATCCAACCCCAAAGAACTGATGGTGTCTGAATACAGACTGAAGCACCCTTTTTTTTTTTTACTTTATTTTTCTTGAGGTTTTTTTTGTCTATGTTTTCTTTCACAACATGGCTATTACAGATATGTTTTGCATGATTACATATGTATAACTTATATCAACTTGCTTGCCTTCTCAGTGCGGGTGGGGGTGGGTAGGGAGGAAGGGAGAGAATTCGGAACTCAAAGTTTTAAAAATAAATGTTAATTGTTTTTACATGTAACTGGGGAAAAATAAAATACTAAACAAAAAGAAAGAAAAATACATTAGGTAAAAGGGGAAGGGAATGAACATTTATATAGTGCCTACTCTGTGCCAGGTAGTATGCTAACAGCTTTTTACAAATATTGTCTCATTTAATCGTCACAGCAATCCTGGGAGGTAGGTGCTATTATTATCCCCATTTTACAGGTGAGGGAACTGAGGCAAATATAGGTTAAGTGATTTATGCTGGATCACGCATCTAGTAAGCTTTTGAGGTCAAATTTGAACTCTGGGCTTCCTGCCTCTAGTCCCAGCACTATGTCCATTGTGCTATCAGCTGCTTCTGGAAAGGAGGGTGTGGGCCATGAACTCCTGGAATCAAGGATGCAGTGCCAGCAAACCTCTCCTATACCTACTCAAAATCCCGGCAAACTAGGCTCAAACATTTAGAACTGGAAGAAATCTCAGTGATCACCTTATCCAGGACTTCTTAACCTTTTCTGTGTCATGGCACCCTTTAGCAGTCTGATAATGCCTCTGAGCTTTACCTTTCTCAGAATAATGTTTCTAAATAATGGAAGGCAATGCCAAATTTCAGGCAGAAGTTAGTGAAAATAAAGATGTAATTTTTCTTTTTGAATTCAAATTCACAGACTCCTCTGAATTCTATTCACAGATCCTTTGGGGGTACAAAGCATCCAGATTAAGAACCCTTGAACTAGATTTTGGAAGTCATTCTAGATCTAAAATTCTGGGATTCATTCTACCCTTAATTAAATGAAATACACAGGATTTCAATTCAATTGTAATAGACAAATTATTTTTAAAAAACCCAAGTTTAGAGATCCCAGCTTAAGACCCCCTGAATCCAATCTCCTCATTCTACACATGAGGAAACCAAAGCCCAGAGACATGAAGTAATTTGTCTAAGCCACACAAATAGTAATGGATAGACCTGGGTTTTGAGCACCATACTTGGTACTCTTTCCACTATAAGAAAGCAAGAAAGTAAGTGGGGCAGATGTAGGATGTGACAGGACCACTTTTCTTCCCTCTCTTTTACTGATCTTTCATTCACCTTTCACGCCCTAACTTTATTGAAGCTACTTGATGTCAGAGGTATAAATTTAACTTGAAGAAATTTGTCCCAAAATATAATATTCCAGAGGTGTAAGCTGTGGACATTTTGTAGGCCATTGTAGCTAAACTATATTCAGTGATATTTATATTTCTATGTATTTATAGACTAAATATTTATTTATAAATAAATATGTAAAAATACTTATAGCCTAAAAAGGCTAACGTATTTTGTATATGTTCTCATAAGATGAGACAGCCTGCTCAATACATATCAAAACAATCAGCTACTGAGAGCCTCCTTTGTGCCCAGTATTGTGTAGGAACCATAAGTACAAAATATGGTCCTTGACCACAAGAGCCTAACATTCTAGTTAGAGAGAAAATAATAATAGCTAGCATTTACGTCGTTGTTGTTGTTGTTGTTTGTCCTTCATTCTCAAAGAAGACCATGACATCAGGGGGGTGATGCCATGACATACAAGTGAAATGAGTTTAAGTGAAGGAGGGCTGTGCAAAGTCACCAGTCTCACTCCCTTCTGGAGCCATCTGGGTCTAGTGGCAAGATATAGATCAGGACAAGTGGTGATGGGTCTGGATACAGTGGGAGACCTTGGGTATTTTAAGCTAAGGTCTTTAACAGGTCTCAGTTTGATTGAGGGAATGTCCACTTAATGATTAAGGCTAGGTAAGAAATGAGGCAGAGAATGGCCTCATTTACCTAGTCAAAAAAAAAATCTGGGAGGGGAAGATCCTCAGGGTTTCTGGCCAAAACAGAAACAATTTGCTGTTTTCATTCACTCTGAGCCAATCAAAGCCCAAACATTGACCAAGTGGGCCAATCAATGAGAGTCAGAGTGATCTGGGTTTAAGGCATGGTCCTTAAGAAAAAAAAAATCTAACCTGTAATCCTCAAGATATCTCAGAGGTTTCAATGATCAAAATTTATATTCCTTTGGGCAGAGCAACAGTAGGTAAGGGTATGATATTCTATGTGGACAGAAGGAAAGGAAAAGAAAGAAAGAAAGAGAGAGAGAAAGAAAGAAAAAGAGAGAGAAAGGAAGAAAGAAAGAAAGGAAAGAAGAGAGAGAAAGAAAGAGAGAAAGGAAGAAAGAAAGAGAAAGAAAGAAAGAAAGAGAAAGAAAGAAAGAAAGAAAAAAGAAAGGAAGGAAGGAAGGAAAGAAGGAAGGAGGGAAGGAAGGAAGGAAGGAAGGAAAGAAGGAAGGAAGGAAGGAAGGAAGGAAGGAAGGAGCTGTGTTGACCAAATGGCCAGTTCCAGTTGGGTCCCCAGTAGGGCAGCATATACTATATAACTCACAGAGGTTGTTGTTTGTCCCTCCTTCTCGCAGAGGACCATGACAGCAGGGAGGTGATGCCATGACTTGCAAGTGAATTGGATTTAAGTGAGGGAGGGCTGTGCAAAGTCACCAGCCTCACTTTCTCCTCTGAAGCCATCTGGGTCCAGCGGCAAGATACAGATCAGGACAATTGGAAATGGCCCCAGATGCAGTGAGACTGTCATCTCCTCTGATCTTCATAACAACCAAAGTAGATGCGTACTATTATTAACTCCCTTTTACAGAAGAACAAACAGAAGTTGAGATATTAAGGGACTTGACCAGGGCCAAAAAGCTATGTAAGTGGCTGAGGCAAGATGTGAACCCAGGTCTTCCTGATTCCAAGTCTGGCACACTATCCACCATGCCATCTATTTGCCCAGGGGATGAGACTGAAATATTTGAATATAAATACATAAAATATTTTAAATAAAAGCAAGCAAAACAAAATGAGTATACAATTAAATGTTATATTGTGATCATAAGTGCAAAGGAATTCAGAGGGATGTGGTATCTGAGTTGATCTTTAAGGATGGGTAGTATATCAATAGGGGAAGATGAAGAGTGGGAGGAAATACCCTGGGGAACAGGAATATTTCACAGGAGCAAAAACACTGGGGCAAGGAACCTGAGAAATGTTGGGAGGGGATGGTTTGTAATTCATTTTTATTAAAACCAAAGGGAGCAGTTAGAAATCAGGCTGGAAAAGTACATGTGGCCCAAGTCATGGAAGGCTTTAAATGCCAGGCAAGAAAATGAGTATAATGTGTGCACAAGACAGAAGGCACTATAACCACCAGTAGAGGGGTGCTCCTTTATGTGCTCTTGGAAGATAGGAAGCAGATCTCATAAGAGGGTGGCACATGGTTGAACCCATTGGCAACTGGGGTAATGTCAATGTCTTTGGGGTCAATGACAGGCTTCAAGGTGAAATTTTGTAAGATGGTGGTGAAAAAAAGAAACAATTCCATCTGAGCCAGGCTTTCACCAACACATGCCCTTTTTCCTGAAAGAGACAAATGGAGATTATAAGCATTGACTTGGAAGTCTTTTAGGATAGGACACTGTTTCAAGGCAGCCATAACCACTAGAACTATAGCTAATAGTAATATAGCTCTTTATGGCTTATAAGACCATTTACATATGTGATCTCATTTAATCCTCAGAACAACCCTGCAATGTAGATTCTATTATTATCCCCATTTTGTAGATGGGGAAACTGAGGCTGACAGATGATAATGGCTTGTTGAGTGTTAACAGAGTTACTAACAGAGTTAGTAAATACCTAAGGCAGGATTTGAACTTAGATCTTCCTGACTTCAAACCCAATGATTTAGGTGGCACAGTGGATTGAGCACTGGACCTAGAGTCAGGAAGACCTGAGTTCAAATGCTATCTCAGATATTTTACTACCTGTGTGACCCTGGGCAGGTCACTTAACCTCTGTCTGCCTCAGTTTCTTCATCCGTGTAATGGGAGTAATAATAATAGCACTCAGCTCCAAGGAGTATTGTGAGAGTAAAATAAGATATTAGTAAATCTGAAAGGGCTACATAAATGTTAGTTATTGGCATAAATTATTGTTATTGTTGTTGTTGTTATACACCATACAAAGCTTCATTCCATACCATTGACACGGGAGTGAGGATTGAGTGCATTCTTTCCTCTCTAGTGCAAGGACACCAATTGGTACATCTACCCTTATTCTATGCGTCTTGCTTGTAGGTAACTAAACCCTTCAGTTAACTCAGGGCTTGGATGACAATTAACATTCCATCATGTTGCCTCCTGAAACTCCAACCTATTCTCCAATAGGAGGGGAGTCCCTTCCATTTAATTTCCCTAAATTCAGCTCTTTTATGCCAGAGTTAAACCTGGGACTTTAAACTCAGAGTTCACCACCCCAGAGCAAGAAGACAGCTACCAGCTACAGCTCCACAAACCAGATGCCTGGCTACTGTTTCTGCTGTTAGTGGGGAAAGGTCACAAGAACTGTGATCAGCTCTTCCTTTGTCACCTCCTTTGTCACTGCTTTGGGGCAGGCAACACAGTCCTGAGACCTGCTTCTTGTTCCCTGTTCAGTGCTGATCGAAGCTATCTGCCTCTTATCAGCCCTCCTCCCTCCTAATCCCAATTATAACCCAGTAGGAAATTGTTCTTAAAAATACAGGTCAGAGTCAGGCAGCTGCCTCTTAACCGTCATCTCCACTAAACTTTAGTCCAAGTCTTAGGCTCTCAGACACTTCTGTAAATTTTCCATCTTTTTCTTTCCCAATATAGGAACCTCCCCAACTAGCTGTTCCTGAAAAGTGAATGCAAAAAGAGTAGAGCTCAAACTGAAATATTGTCTCCCTTCGATTCTGATTTTATATTTGTTTTTTATTTAATTTCCAATTAATAAAATTTTGTCATTTAAACTTTTTTCTTTTTAATAATAATAGATAATATTTACATAGTGCTTACTATATGCAAGGTACAATGCTAAGCACTTTACAATTATTATCTGATTTTATCTTCACAACAACTTTGAGAAGCATTTGCTATTCTCCCTCTTTTATAGAGGAGAAAACTGAGGCAAACAGAGGGGGGTTGCAAGGGCCCTCACTGAACTAAAGGGAACAGTTGTTGGCTCATGACTGACAATTGGCTGTAGTCATGGGGGAGATCATAGACTGGCCCTTTCCTGCTGGTAGTTACCTTGTTATCAATGGATTCATCCTAGAATAGGAATTCGAAGGACAAAGACAAGGTCTGTTGCTGGTGTTCTATCCCAATGGAGGACCATAACAATGTAGGTATCCAGGAAGAGGGCTCCAAGAAGGGCACTCCAAAGAGCAATGAGTGTGATATTAGATGAGGTCAGAGTCTTAGTGGCAGAGGTACAAAAGTAGGGTGGTAGTGAGGACTCCTTAGAATGCCCTTCAAACTCATCTGTCAGAGTCAAGAATCACTGTGATGTTCTAAAGACACTAAGATAGGACTCTAGGTGAGTAGTGCCTGATGGCACCTGAGCAATGGACCATTGAGAAAACCTTGTCATATCCCTCAGCTCGCTGAGGTACCATAGTGTGCCCCACAGGCAAAAAATGCTTAGAAAACCATGCCTGAAAGAAGATCCTGGCTGAGAAATCTTTGCAGGACAGTTTCAGTCCTTTGGGGACATAGATAATAGATTTGGAGGGAAGACACACTGGCCACTGTTCTGAGCTCTTCCTTTCTTGTAGAAAAACTGGGGCAACTGCCCAAAGTCCCACTGATTTTGCACAGCACTGATCAAACATGGCTGGAAATAGGTTTCCACACTTAACATCACTTCTAATGATGACTTGTAGCCCAAGCAAGAATGGAAGGATAAGAACCTATCCTCACCTTATTCCTAACATTTAGAGGCAAAAGAGAGCCTAGAGTTCATCTAGTCTAAAACCTCATTTGAAATCTTAGGAAACTGAAGCTCACAGATGTCAAGGAATTTGCTCAAGGTCACACAGGTTGTAAATGGGATTGGAACTCAGGTCCTCTAAGATACATAGATACACAGATTTTGAAACATTTGCCTTGCCTGTTGCAAAAGGTACAAAATAGTCTGTTTTCTTAAAGTTGCCCCTTTCATCCAGGAAATGGTGTGGGTCAAACTGGTCTGGATTGGGGAACTCTTCATTGTCATATAGAACAGAAGTCAGTAATGGTATTACGGTTGTGCCCTGGAATGAACAGAAACAGATAATTTGAATGATAGAAGACAAGTCCTAGAATGTTAGAATTGGAAAGGACCATAGAAATCATCTAGTCCAATTTTTCCCTTCCTTTCCCCCTCTCCTGCATTTACAAGCAAACAAACTAGGGGCCAGCATTGGGTGAGGCCAAGACCAGAACCTTGGTGTCCTGACTCCCAGACTTATCCTAGTTGATCACATCATACCAGAAGACCCCAAAGTCAGTATGCAGACAGATGCAGTCTTGGTCCCTGTAGGGCAAAACCAGGGTCAATAGGTGGGAGTTACAAGGAGGAAGAATTCAATTCAACAAACATTAAGTGCCTACAGTATATGGGCACTGTAATTTAAGGAGAATTTTGACAACTAGACACGGAATGGGCTGCCTAGTTTGGTGGTATGATACTAGCAGAAGCTAGAAGAGCTTTTGTCTGGGATTTAACCAGATGACTGTTGTACTATAATCCTGGGATTCTCTAATTTTCTAGGAGACAGTATAAATGCTGGTGTGGAGCTTTAATTAGAAATGATTTCACTGGGGACAAAAATAATTGGGAGCATGGCAGTGATGGGACACAGGACACTCCAACCATGGGTTCAGATATGCCAACTGTGTGGGCAATCCAGCCCTCATCCAAAAAATGGTTGAGGGGGAAGGCAGGCCAGTACAGAGATGTCACAGCAATGGGATTGTAGCTGCTGGGACATCAGAGAACTGCCATGAAAGGCATGAAGACAGTGGTTGCTTCAGGGAGGAAATGTATCACCCTTCCCTCACTCTAAGGAAAAATCCCATTCCTTTGTTGCTAGTTATGGCTCCCTTCTTTTATTATATTCGATAAATGACATACTTCTTACCTTGGGGATGAGGTATTGTCTGAACTGAATGTCTTCTGTTACTGCATGAGGCACGCTGGCAGGGACGAGGTCAATGTATCTCTGTATTTCATGGATCACAGCATTGGTATAAGGCATATTGCTTCTGTCTTTCATGCTGGGACTTTGGTTTTGGCCAATCACTTGGTCAATTTCTTCATGGATTTTTTCTGTCACAATAGGAATAAGAATTCATGTAAAAAGTGGGGAGAAAGACATGACATCTCCCCCGGTTTCTCTGACCTCTCACCTAGAATTACATAGGAAATAAAATGCTACTGAATCTACCCCTTAATGGGCAAATTAAGAGTTCCATTTCAGTCAAGGGTCTATGGGAAGCACATAAATTCTGTGCCCGTCAGAGCTCAGGCTTCAAGTTGTCCTTACACAAATACAAAACAGGCAGCATTGGATAAGAAGGTAATAAGGCCAGATTCAGTGGATTCAAGTGGTTTCTCCATACAGCTGGATGAGTATCTGAGAACTGGGATGTTCCAGTTCTTTCTAAACCATGGTGATCTGGCCCCACTACATCATTCAGTTATGCAGAGTTCTACCCCAAACATCATAAAAATGGGAAAAGGACCCAAATGTACAAAAATATTTCTAGCATCTCTTTTTTGGTGGCAAAGAATTGGAAATTGAAGGGATGCCCACTAATTGGGAATGATTAAACAAATTGTGGAATATGAACATAATGGAATACTATTTTGCTATAAGAAATGATGAGCAGGCAGAATTCTGAAGACCTGGAAAGACTTATATGAACTGATGCTGAGTGAAATGAGCAGAAGCAGGACAACATTGTACAGAGTAACAGCCACTTTGTGCAATGACTGACTTTGATAGACAGCTCTTCTCAGCAATGCAAGGATCTAAGACAAAAGACTCATGATGGAAAATGCTATCTACAGCCAGAGAAAGAACTTTGGAGTCTGAATGCAGATAGAAGCATACTATTTGTGCGTGCGCTCTCTCTCTCTCTCTCTCTCTCTTTTTCTTTTGTTTTGTTTCTTCTTTCTTGTACTTCCTCCCATTGGTTCTAACTCTTCTTTACAACATTACTAATGTGAAAATATGTTTAATATGAATGTATACGTAGAGCCCATATCAGATTGCATGCCTTCTTCGGGAGGGTAAAGGGGAAGGAGGTGGAGAAAATTTAAAACTTAAAAACTTATGGAAGTGAATGTTGAAAACTAAAAATAAATACATTAATTAAAAAAAAGAAAGAACACAAGGGCTAAATATTTTAATTATGTACATACATCAAGTTTCATGGATACCTTTGTTTTAATATCATAGTTATTTTCAGATATATTGCTATACTACCGTCAGGGAGTTTTCCTTTTAAAAAAGGAACAATTTAAGCCAAACTAAATGCATATGCAGCATTCCAAACCCAGTGAAAGGAAGAAGGCCCATTTCCTTATTACTTCTCCAGAGGTGAAATTGGCTATTACACTTTCACAGCATGTAGCTTCATTTTAGTGTTCTTTGCAATTCTTTTACTGTACACCAGTAGAATGCGTACAATAAGGGCTGCATATATTAGAAATAACTGGTCTGACCTAACAATAAAATATATAACCTATATGAAGAAGTGGAGGAAGACCTAAATAAGTAGAGAAAACTTCAAGGTTCTTGGATAAGTCAGTTCAAAATGCTAAAACAAAAACAAAACAACAAAACAATATTCCCTAAACAAATTCAGAGATTTAATGTGCTACCAATTTTTTTTAAATGAGTTCATTGTACAATTGTACATATTATAATCCTATCTCTGTCCACTGGAGTTGAGTCACTTTTGAGCTCACTCCTGCCTGTTTGTTTTTTCAAATCCACTAAACTAGAGACCCTTCCCAGGTTAAGCTTTTCAACTCTAAACTTATCATCATGTTGCTAATTCAAGCCTAGACTGACTCTACCTCCTCCTTCAGCCTCCTCTCCCCTATGATTAGAGGATGTGAGCCTGTAGTACCAAACTCCTCCCAATGCCTTCCTTTATAAAAGGTAGAAACTGAACTTTTGGCTAACTCCACTCTGCCTTTGCTGCCCTTCCTGATTTATTCAACTCCCCACTGGTGTTTCCCTATCCCACTCCCCTTTTCTGCCTCCTTTTGTGTATTGTCTCCCCACATTAGATTGTAAGCTCCTTGAGAGCAGAAACTGTATTTCTTTTTATTAATTGTATTCCTAGTATACCTGGTACTTAGTAGGCATTTAATAAATGTTTTTTGGATTGGATATATGTCTTACCATGTCTCTCTGAATTCCCCATATTCAATAGTTTTTCATGGCATTCATAGGCTATAATTTGCCTACTCCTTCTTTGAGTCATGGACACAAACCTAGATTTTCCCTTTTTTAAAATGAATGGTATGACAGCTGAATTGCTATGTCATAAATCTCTCTTTAATTTCATCAATGTTTATCTTTACAGGGAAGCCATGTCCTAAGTAGTCAATATTTTTATTTAAACTAAGTCTAACTTTTTATAGGTTGCTTTTGGCATAAGCATGACACCACTGTGAACTGACTGTATTTTTAATATGTTGTAAGTTTCATTGGTCATTCATCATTTAGTCTTCTGTTTGAGGAAAAGAAGTGTGGTAGGCAGAAAAAGCATTATTTTCTATTTTCTGGAATTGGAATGTGGCTTTGAGTTCTACAATTTACTAGATGTGCAACCTTGGGCAAGTCACCTAGCCTCAATAGACCTCAATTTTCTCATCTATAAAATGGGGGTAACTTTTGCATTGACCTTACCACAATGTGAAGTTTTTGTAATGTTAATGAAAAAACATTATTGTTAAAAAGAGGCCCTATTGATAGTAACAAAAAACATTAAATACCTAACAATTAACTCATTTATCTACACATTTGTCTCAATTCATTAACACACATTTAGGTTTCTGATGCTGAAAGGAATAAGTGGATGCAGTGAATCTCCCAATCCCTTTGAATCCCCAAAGCATTGATTAGGGACTCCAAAAGATATGTACCTGGAAAATTATCATCTAATACCTTGTATGCAGCTAAGTAGCTCAGTGAAAACAGCACTAGGCCTCTAATCAGGAAGACCTGAGCTCAAATCTGGCCTCAGACACTTATTAGTTATGTGATTCTGGGCAGTTCACTTAATCTCGGTTTGCCTTAATGTATTGGAGAAGGAAATGGAAAACCACTCCGGTTTCTTTGCCAAGAAAACTCCAAATAGGGTCACAAAGAATCAGATACAACTGAACAGCAACAACATTTTTTGGGGGACAGCTAGGTGGTGCAATGGATAGAGCACTGAGCTTGGAATCAGAAAGACTCATCTTCCTGAGTTCAAATCTGGCCTCAGATACTTGCTACTTGGGCGACCCTGGGCAAGGCACTTAACTCTGTTTGCCTCAGTTTCTTTATCTGTGAAATGAACTGGAGAAGGAAATGACAAACCACTCCAGTATCTTTGCCAAGAAAACCCCAAATGGGACCACAAAGAATTGGACATGACTGAAGAATGATTGAGTAACAAAACCTATTAGTGTTTGCAATGTGTCTACTGTATCTCTTCTATAGAGCATAAGCCTTGTAACTTACTTGTAAGTAATAATGAGTAGTCATAATAGGAACAATTCACAAGTGAATAGCACATGGCATAGTGAGTAGAAGACCAGTCCTAAAATCAAGAGGACATGGATTCAAGTCTTGCCTCTGAAACATATTGGCTATATGATCCTGGGCAAGTCACATAACTTTTCAGAGTACCAGGGAAGTCTCTTTGGCTATAAATTACAGTTGAGCTGCTAACCTGCATTTGTGCAGGGAATAATCATATATGAAATGCTCCCCACTAATGAAATCACAGTTTTGCACCCTCTTATCCCTTTACTTAAGAAAAAAAAAGGTCAGAAGTTAGTGTTTTATAGTTCACAAAGTGCTGGGATAGATAGAAAGGTAATGAACTTGAAGACACAATAACTAATATTTAATACATTAAGTATCAACAGAAACTATTCCAAACAGAGTCTCAGCAGTGCTGGCCATGAGCCTCTTTCTTCCTAACTTTTATTCTGCATTTTATTCTGCATATTATCTGTCCACTTACTTGTGATATGAGGGTACTTCAGCAGAAGCAGGAAGCCATATCTCAGAGTGGTGCTGGTGGTCTCCGTCCCAGCTCCAAAGAGATCAAGAGTGGTTTGGGTTAAGTTTTCAATGGTAAACTCAGACTGTGGGTTTTGCTTTTCCTAGGAATAATTTGACACAATTAGTTAATAAATATATGAACTAGATTAGATCTGAGTTATACAACCCAGAATGGAGCAGGGTGATGGCAAATATCTTGTGAATTTGGCTAATCCAGACACTGCAGACCTTTCCCCAACCCCTTCAAATATGTAGAGAAAAAATTAGGCAAATGGTATTGAGTAACTTAATAAGTTTGGAATAAAATGATAATATTCATCTAGTGCTGTATACAAGGTTCTATCAAATACTTCATCTTACCTGATCCTCATTAAAATCTGGTGGGAGGGGCAGCATGTTATTGTCCATAGAGAGTGGCTATCCTTGGAGTCAGGAAAACCTGGGTCTGAACTCAGATATACACTATCTAGGGCACCCTTGGCAAATCGCTTCACCTCTCAGGGCATGAGGCAGATTTTTAAGTGACCAGTGCTCAAAAGGGGCCAATGATAGGAATAAGGCCAGTGCTAGCTGCTGAGGGCACCTGGGTAATACAGTGGATAGAGAACCAGGCCTGGAGTCAGGAAGACAAGTTTATGTCTGGCCTCAGACACATTCTAGCTCTGTGACCCTAGGCAAGTCATTTAACCTCTGTTGGCCTCAGTTACCTTATATGTAATGTGAGGATAACAATAGCACCTACCTCCCAGGGTTGTTGTGAGGATCACATGAGATGATAATTGTAAAGTGCTTAGCACAGTGCCTGGCCCAGAGTATGAGTTATATAAATGTTAGTTATTATTATTTATTATCGTTGCCCCTGAATCATCCTTAGCCATGTCTCAGAAGGTCAAATGACAACAGCTTGGCTGAAGAAATACCAGGCTCAGGATCAGGAGAGCTGGGTTCTGGTCCCTGAGCTGACACTAATTTCAGATCTCTGTTTCTCTTCTGTAACTTGGAGATGTTGTTCTCTAAAATCCTTTCCAGCTCTAGTAGTCTGTGGGTCTGTGGTATTTGGGCTCCGTTGGATTCCACCTCAGCACAGCCTCAATTTCAGTTAAACATGAAGGAGCCTTCTCCTGTGACATTGGCCATTCCCCTCCTCTGTCTCCATTTCCTCCTCTAAAATGAAGGGATTGTACTAGATGATCTTGTCAAGATATTAGGAGACCCCATATTTCCAGTGCTAAGGCCCAGCAAACAATCTGTGCCCTGAGCCTGGCATAACAACAATCCTTTGAGCTCACCCTGTGGATGATCTCAGCCATAGCAAAATCCCAGAATTGTTTTCATATGATTATTGTACTACTTTGACCAGCACCAGGTGTTCTCTGAGCTTGGACAAGCACTTGCTGTATCTGTGTTCTGGTCATGAAGCACTGCTATGGCCTCTCCTTTGGTTTCCAGAGGATGGCCAAGGTAGAGAGTTGTATAGTATGGTATAGTACAGTATAGTATAGTATAGTATAGTATAGTATAGTAGTATAGTATAGTATAGTATAGTATAGTATGGTATGGCATGGCATGGCATGGCATGGCATGGCATGGCATGGCATGGCATGGCATGGTATAGTGTAGTATAGTATAGTATAGTATAGTATAGTGTGTTGTGGTGTGTTGTGGTGTGGTGTGGTATGGTATAGCATAGACTACAATCCCCTCACATGGCCATCTGATGGTAAGATTCAGGTTAAAAAATATTTTTGTTTTAAGAATTTTATTTGCTACAAAGTATGATACTATAGATTTCATGTGCTATGAAAAATAAACATTGTTTGAAGTCAACATCTCTCTCTTTCTCTTTGTGTTTTATTAAGATGTTAGGACAAAAAAGTCACAAAATTCTAGGGAATTACTAGTGAGAAAAAGTTTTGCATATAACTTGTGAACTGAATTTTATGGGTTATTTCATGGTTACTGTGCTAAGAAAAGTGCATATTATCAGAGTAATGTTTTGCTATCAACAATTATATGCAGAAAAGTATATTTTCAGCAATCTTTTGTGAAAGATTATAGTTTTCGGTAGTCATGGGAACCTAATCCCCTATTTCTTATAATTTTAGTGCATCAACATTCATGTTTTTTTACTTTTAAACCATTATCTAGGAACATTACCCCCACAGAAGTTGAGAAATGACTATACACACATATACATATAGCCATAGAATGATGATAGATAGACGATAGATAGACAAATTGTTGTTGTTATTACTCAGTCATGTCCGACTCTTTGGGGTTTTCTTGGCATTTCCTTTTCTACTACAGTTTACAGATGAGGAGACTTGAGGTTTATAGGGTTAAATGACTGGTCCAGGGTTACACAGCTAATAAGTGTCTGAGACAAGATTTGGACTCAGGAAAATTAGTCTTGACTCCAGGCTCAACATTCTATCCACTGCACCACCTAGATGCCCATAAAAAGATATAGATATAGGTATCCATACATGTATATACATACAAATATTTTTACATACATACCTTTATGTATATATATATGTGTGTGTGTGTGTGTGTGTATATGTGAATATATGCATGTATGTATGTATATATATGTATATCTCCCCTAGGGAGGTTTCTTGTAAGACAAGTGCAAAGTAAACCCTTACCTTAGCACCTAGTTAGCAATAGTTATTAATTAGAAAAGGGTCACCATATATCATGCCTCCTTTCTCTGAGAGTAATTTCTTCAGCAATGGCCTGGTGGTGTCCCTGGGTCTCTGCCCACAGGAGCTGGTGTCCTGAAGTCTCTTTCGTCTGTCACAAAGATATATTTATTCCTCCCCCCAAAGCTGATGGTATATTTTGTATTGCAGTAGATAGCACTGGCCTTGGGGGCAAAAATGTCCAGGTACAGTTCTGGTAAGGGGGGATTCTATCACAGAATTTGTCATAATTGCCAGGACTCTCTCAGGTTGTCTTCCAACTACTCTGTATATATCTTGTACAAATTAATTATCAACAAGTCTCCCCCTCCCCATTTTAATGCAAACTGAAGGGACTGATTTTGCTTTTTTGTTTTATTACCTCAGTGCAGTTAGCATTTTATAAATACTTGTTGACTGACTGATATAAAGGCTTCTTATAACAGATCATGTCAAGGATCCTGTGAACTTAAATGGGAAAAAATACAGTTTTATTTTCACTAGACTCTAACTGAAATTTAGTATTTCAATTATTTAAAAACATTAGGAGAAGGGGTCCCTATACTTCACCAGGCTGTCAAAAGGGTCCATAGCACAAAATAAGGTTATGAATCTATGTTCTAGATTTAATAAATACTCATTTACTCTCATTTGTGTGTGCATATGAGTACCACTGGGAAGAACACCACCCTTGGTCCTTCTCCAAGACAATTGAACTGAAGACTTGCTGCTTCCGCCCTACCTGCTCCATTTTCATCAGGAAACAGTCAATGAAGTCCCGAGGGTCATTGGCATCTAGGGTTTCTTGATGCTCTTTAACTCTCTCCAAAACAAAGTCACTCAAGTGATGAAAATTTTTGATTAATTTATGATGAACTCCTGGGAGATAATGGACTAGAGATGGGAAAGAATTGTAGACCTAAAAAGTGAAAAGATTCACACAACTCTTTTTTTTTTGTCCTGGATAGACAAGATAAGTCCTTACTCTTGAATACAAGTTGTATTTAGAAGAGGAAACTCATTGGGTAGGCAGAACTCCCTGAGGCAAAGTGTGGGAGAGTAAAATGGTAACCTCTCTTTTCACTTCCCCCAAACCTCTAAAATCAATTTAGGTCCCACCCTCTGTCTCTAGGGCTTCTTTAGTACTTTATCGGGATAAACTACTTAAATAACAAAATACTACAATACTTTTACCGGAGAGGGCATTGGATGTAGAATCAGGATGAACCGGGTTCTAACATGACCCCCGACACATTAGTAGTGGGATCCAATCAAGTCACTTATCTTCTGTTGCCCTGAGTTTTCTCATATATAAAATGGGGATGAGAATATTGGCCTCACCTGTATCCATGGGGAGCTGAGAATCCTGACGTTTTCATTTAAAAGCTCCATTAAATATAGAAATTTCTGATCTTGATAGTCAAAACGTTTCTGGAAAACAACTGAGCAGATGACATTGCAGGGGGCAGACCCAAGGATGATGGTGGGGTCACAAGGCAGTCCTAAAGAATGGGAAAGATTGGGAAAGAGAGAAACTTAACATTAGCTTGAAATTAATTTTCACTGAAACTGCAAGAGAAGGTTGATGTGCCCAACAAATATAGATTTCACCTTAGCTGATACTGTTAAAGTTATAGGCAGTTTGTGTGTTTAACCACCAGATGGCATTATTTCCCACTAGCTTGATCTTATTCGTGAAAAGAATGCAACTCTGTTAAGTCCCACTGGGATGCAAAGAAATGGTGTTTAAAAAGTCCATGCCTTCAAACTCCTTGCAATCTAATGTAGAAGGCATTGTGTATATAAATAGGTACATATAAGAAATCTATACGTATGTATACATGCACACTCACATATGATGAAAGGTAATGTCAGAGGGCAGTTAGGTGGTGCTGTGGATAGAGTGTTATGCCTGAAATTAGGAAGACTTATCTTCTTGAGTTCAAATCTTGCTTCAGACACTTACTAGCTGTGTGACCCTGGGGAAATTGTTTAACCCTGTTTGCCTCAGTTTCCTCACCTGCAAAATGAGCTGGAAAAGGAAATGGCAAACCACTCCAGCATCTTTGCCATGAAAACCCCAAATGGGGTCACAAAGAGTTGGACATGACTGAAATGACTACAACAATAAAAATCTCAGAAAAGACATTAGTAGCTTGGGGTGGGGAAGATGGAAAGACTTCCTGCTAAAGCCAGCATGTGAACGGAACCTTTTTTTTTCTACTTGTTTTTTTTTTTACATTTTTTATTAGAACTTAAATACGTAATAAGAAAAGAAAAAGAAACACATCATAAACTTTTATATTAAAACTTAAATATGCAAAAGAAAAAATTTCATGTGCACCGCAGAACATAAGAGATGATTGAAAATATATAGCAATAAATTTCCATTTCAAGGAACACTGTATATTAAATACTACATGTTGTGTCCATGTGAGCTGAATCTTGAAGAGAGTCAGGGATTCTTTAAGAGGGGGAAGTGATGACCAGCATAGTGAGTGAAGAACAGCAAATGGGACAGTATGGCTAGAGAGTAGAGGATGGGGAGAGGAGGAATGTGCAAGAAAACTGAAAGAATTAGCAAGGGTCAAGGTTGTGAGCAGCTCATAATGCTGTACAGAGGAATTTATATTTGATCCTAGAGGTAATGGTAAGACATTGGAATGCTGAACAATTGAATAGAAGGAAGTAATCGGGTCATACCTTTGCTTGAGGAAAATCACCTTGGCAGCTATGTGGAGGATGGATTAGATTGGGGACAGATTATTAATTTTCATTTATTGTTATTACTTAATTATAATTTAGTTATCATTAAGAGATTATTGCAATAGTCCATGAGAGAGGTGATAAGAATCAAAAGTAAGGTGATGAGATGAGACAGATGTGAGCTGTGTTGTGAACATAGAATCAATAAGACTTGACAACTGATTGGATGTGAGGGAAATTAAAGGGTTAAAAATAACGCCAAGATTGAGAACTGGAGTGATTAGAAATAGGGAAGTTCAGAAAAGGCATAGTTTTTTGTTTGTTTTTGTGAGGGGGAAGATGATAAGTTTCGTTTTACACATATTGAGTTTGTGACATCTACAGGATATACAGTCTGAAATGTCTAGGAGAGAGTTGGTGATGTGGAACTGAAGCCCAGGAAAGAGACTAGACATATACATACAGTCAACCCTCAGTTCATACATTTAACTTTGTGACTTCACACAATAGCACGATTTTATCAGTTACTCCATTTTCATTTGTGTTGGCAACAGCCCACCTTTGTGGCTATATGCAGCCCTACTAGGTGCTTCATTGGTCTTATTCATCCTACTATTGTAGAATAAAGAGCTCTCCATGCATTCATTGCATGTTTTCATTGTTTGCCTTTAAAACTCAAGTTTTGTGTTCTAGTTATGCCCCCAAAGTATAATGCAAGTTCTTTGAGCTCCAAGGTGATGTTAAGACCTTGCTGGTTTCAGTATCTTCTACTAGCAGTGACTTAAACTCCACAATCTCTTCCTTGGTTTTCAGAGGGCAGACAAGATAGAGAGGTTCACAGAAGTATGATATAAGGTATAGCACCCCTACATCACCATCTGACAGTAGAAGGTGAGATTCAGGTTAAAAATGTTTTAGTTTTAAGAATTTTATTTGTTGTATAGTATTTATGATACTATAGATGTCATGGGTTATGAAAAGTGAATATTGTCTGAAATCAATGTTATTGTTGTTTTTTAAATTTAGATGTTAGCACAAAAGGTCACAGAATTCTAGGGAATTACTAGCAAGAAAAAGTTTTGCATGTTACCAATTTTATTTTAGGGTGGCTAGGTAGCACAGTGGATAGAGTAGCAGCCCTAGAGTCAGGAGGACCTGAGTTCAAATCCAGCCTCAGACACTAGCTGTGTGACCCTGGATAAATCACTTAAGCCTGTTTGCCTCAGTTTCCTCAGCTGTCAAATGAGGTGGAGAAGGAAACAACAAACCACTCCAATATCTTTGCCAAGAAAACCCCAAATGGGGTAACAGAAAATTGGACAAGACTGAAATGACTCAACAACAAAATTTCATTTTGTGTACTGCATATTGTGGGTTATTTCATTGTTACTTTGTTAGGAAAAATACATATTATCCGAATTAATATTTTGTTGTCAAGAATTGTATGCAAAAAATCTCTCATATTCAGTAATCTCTTGTGAAAGATTACAGTTTTTGGTGGCACTGGGAACCTAACCTCCTATTTCACACAGGTTTAATGCCTTTTTTACTTTCACACTGTTTTCTAGGAACATTACCCTTGCTGCAAAAGTTGAGGATTGTCTGCCTATACATCTTTGAATCATCCGCATAGATATGATAACTGAACCCATGGGGAGCTGAGGAAGTCACCAAGTAAAAGTAAAGAAAGAAAAGAGAAGAAGGCTGAGGTAAAAACTCTGGGGTACATCCACAGTTAGTGGACTGAAGATCTGAGAACAGAGGACTGAGAAGAAGTGATCAGAGAAGTAGGAGGAGGGAATGGGGGGGACAGAGAGAGAGAGAGAGAGAGAGAGAGAGAAGAGAGAGAGAGAGAGAGAGAGAGAGAGAGACAGAAAAAGACAGAGACAGAGAGACAGAGACAGAGAAACAGAGAAACAGAGAAACAGCCTTAGTCTTTCTGTGGAGCTACGGTCAAGCATCTGTAACTGCCTCTTGGACATCTCCAAGTGGATGTCCCATAAGAACTTCAAACTCAATAGGAGCAAGACAGAATTCATTCTTTCCCCCAAAACTCTCTCCTCTACCAAGCTCCCAGATTACTGTTGAGTACACCACCATCCTCTCAGTTACCATGTTCCACAACCTTGGGATCATTCTCAACTCCTCATTCTTAATTCACATATCCAATCTCTTGCCAAATCTCATTATTTCTAGACTTATAACAATCTCTCACATATGTTCCCTTCTCTTTGCTCATACAGGCACAACCCTAGTTCAGGCTCCTATAACAACTTTCAGGAGCTATTGTAGAAGCCTTCTAATTGGTATTCCTGCCTCAAGTCTCTCCCCATTCCAATACATCTTCAATTTGGCAGCCAAGGGGATTTTTCTGAAGCATGCATCAGACCATGTCACTGCCCTGTTCATTCTGATGGCTCTGTATTACCTCTAGGATCAAATATAAAATTTGTTTGGCATTTAGAGCTCTTCATCACCTGGCCCCTTCCTACCTTCCCATCTCCTCATACTTTACTCTCTTTCCCTCACTTTATGATCCAAGGAAACTGGCCCAGCTGTAGTTCCTCACACATATCAATCTATCTCCTGACCCTATGTCTTCAATGCTCTATCTCCCCACCTCTGCCTTTTAGTTTCGCTGGACTTCTTCAAGATTCACCCCAAATCCCATCTTCTTTGGCCTTCCCTGGTCCCTCCAGCTTGAAAATGTCTTACCCTTTCAGATTACCTTCACCTACTCTGTGTACATCACACAAATAGCTAGTTAATTAGATGTTGCCTTCCCTTCAGAATATATGCTCTTTGAGGACAAGGATTTTGGGGTGTCCAGCAGGGAGACAGTTTTCTTTATAGTCCTTGCAGTTAGCATACTGCCTGGCACATAGTGTGTACTTAATCAATGCCTGTTGATTGACTTTCCAGCTCACTTTCACCCCCCAAAAGTCAATGTGAACTTTAACCAGTGGTTCTTGCATTATGACTCTTCTCTTGCCTCCACCCTCTAAAGCTATCAGAGATTACCACAGAGTTCAGAGTAGAATAGACCTGAAAAGGCCACACACCCAAGGTGGGTGTAAATTACAGTAAATCTTTTAAGCTCAACTTTGATCCATATGAGTCATTAGAGAAATAATATTTGCTATGATTAATGATGAGAAGTAAACAAACACCAACCTTTTGTTTTTTTTAACTCCTCCACCAGGCACTTGGCCTCTTCTTGGACTCGCTCTTCAATGCTCCTTTTTCCCATCCCAAAATTCCTCAGGGTTGTAAGTGAAAAGCGGCGAATTTGCTTCCATCTCTCTCCATTACTGAAAAGGAGTCCTATGAGGGAGAGTAGAGAGAAAATAGAAAAAAAAATTTCTGAACTGAATTCTGAGAGGAAAATAAATGGGAGAGAAAATGGGACCAACTCCAGCAATCATGAATATAAGCACCTTTAGTTTCAACAACTCTCCCTGCCCCTCAAAGTCTTTTATTCTCTCACCCCCAATAAAGCTCATGCTCAAGGGCTCATGGCCCAGAATCTGGGTTCTAGAAGAACAGGATAGGGTGTGGGGAAGGATTGCCCAATTTGCTTCTTTCCCTCTCAGCTGTGTTTTCTGCCCCATTACATACATCCCACACCATACTCATCCACCACCATGGCCACCTTGGGCAATCCTACAATCTCATCCTACTTCTGGCAAGAAGAGGCCATCAAGCTGAAGTCCAGAATGGATTCAGGTTGTCCCTGAAGGTTTTAGAATAGGTATCAAATACATTAATCTTATTTCTCTACTTCTGCATCTTTTAGCCCAGAGGATCAAAGGGATTGTGCTACTTTTTGAGGCAGGCTAAAGTCCTAATCTTCCTAGACTACACTGGGGACCAGAGAGGGAACTTTTTTTTTGTATTTTGTGGGTTCCCAGATTTGTGAATCAAAGGAATTCTTTTCACATGGTATTCCTGTATTTTTGTAAGTGTCTCATGATATCCTTGGGGCCAAGATAAAAGAAGACATTGGTCAGATTGCTCAGATTGTTGGAAGTTCAGCTAGAGGAGACTGATCTGGATGCATATCCCACCTTTGCTGTGTGAGTGTATTTAATGATTCAGTCCTGAGCTCTCTTCCTTTTTTTCCTCTCTCCTTTCTTTATCAGTGATCTCCTTAGCTTCCATAATCTCCATGATCTATGATTTTTACATAGCTTCTTTCCAAAGCTACATATCTAGCTCTCAATCTCTCTCCTGAGCTCCTAACCCACATCAACAAATACTTGCTGGACACCTCCATCTAGATGTCCCATAAACATTTGAAACTAAAAATGCCCAAAATAGAATTCAGAATTTTCTACCACAAACATACACCTCCCTTATTTCCACTGGGGGCACCACCATCCTTTCATGCTATTTTCTCATGTTCATAATCCTTGAGTCAGTCTTTAATTCTTCACTCTCCACTCTTCTGGAAGCTAGGTGGCACTGTGGATAGAGCAAGGGGCTTCAAGTCAAGAAGACATGTGTTCAAATCCAACCTCAGACACTTATTAGCTGTGTGATCCTGGTCAAATCACTTAAACTTGATTTGCCTCAGTTTGCTCAACCATAAAATGAGGATAATAATGTCACTAATCTCCCAAGGTTGTTGTGAAGATCAAATGAGATAACATTTTTGAAGCATTTATCGTAATGCTTGGCACACAGGTGCCTAATAAAAGCTTATTCCCTTACCATTCACCTCCGCCATCTAGCTGTTATCAAGTCTTGTCCAGTTTATCCTCACAACATATCTTGCATCTATCTTCTCTTCACTCACAAAGCCACCACTTTAGTTCAGGCCCTCACCACCTCTGGTCTGGAGTATTGCATTAAACTCTTAATTGGCCTCCCTGAATCCAGACTCCTTTCTGATCTGAACTCCACACAGCCACCAAAGTGACATTCCTAAAGCACAGATCTGACTAGGTCACTCCCCTCCTCAGTAAGCTCAAGTAGCTCCTTATTGCCTTTGGGATCAAAATTTCTTCTACTTAGTATTTAAAGCTATTCATTACTTGCTTCCAACCTACTTTTCTAGGCATATTACACAACATTTGCTTTCACATACTGTAAGGTCTAACCAAAATGGGCTTCTTGTTTGTCAAATATGACATTCTATCTCTTATTTCCATGGCTTTGCATAGCCTGCCTTGAATGCTCTTTTCTTATCAATCACTTCTTGGAACACTTACCTTTCTGTGAGACTTACTCTGAATGTCCCCTCCTACAAGAAGTCTTCTCTGATTACCTCAGTTGTTTGTGCTTTCCTATAAACCCCAAGTTTCTTTGTGCTTATTTTGTATAGGTCTTTATTTATTTGCATGCACCCCACCCCCACCCTACATAATAGAATGTAAGCTCCTTGAGAAGGGCTGAGACTATCTTATTTCTGGTTTTGTATCTTTTATGCCCAGCACAGTATCTGACATACAGCAAGCACTTAATAAATATTCATTCAATTGAACTGTTATGTAAAAGTTCTCTATTTTCTTGGAATCCTATTTTTCTACATTCCTCATTTTTATCTGCATTCTCTGCCCTACATTGAGCAGAAACATACCCAATCCCTTGTTAATGGTATCAGACACTGGGAAACTTCCTCTGCCAGCAAATGCATCTCCATGACCAATCAGAGCTTCCTTAATTGCTTTATGTCCATGTAACACGATAGCACGCTCAGAACCCAAGTACAGAGTGAATACTGGGCCATAAGTTTTTGCCAGCTGTAAGAGGAAATGTAGAAGGCAATTTGATCAATTTGATAATAAACAGCTTGGACTGACATTGCTAATCTCATTGCAGAAATTTTCAACTCATTAATAACTCCATCATGATATCTTTGACATTTATATCAAAGAGAGTCCAAGGAAGACATGCACTTTGCCCAGAATGCAAATGGTTGAAAAGCTGAAAGCTGTGGAGTAGCAAACAGCAAAATGGCTGGTGAGGTGTAGTTTATGCCCCTAGAGCAGAGTCTTCAACTTCCTCCTTAACTCTGCCTCTCAGAATATCGAGTTTCCTTTAAAACTGAGCCCATGTATCATCTCCTATGGGAAGCATTTCCTGATTTCCAAAGTAGTTATCATTTCCTCCCTCTTTAAAAAATTATAATGCATCTTCTTAGTTATTTATACGATGCATTCTTTCATTAGAATCTAAGCTCCTCTTCACGTTGTCCTCCACTCTCAAATCCCAAACCTTCTGCCCTATATGCACTCATGATTTGCCAAATCCCAACATTGGATTACTTTTATTGCCTGCCTTCTCTGCTCCTGCTCATATCCTCTTGAATAGAACTGGAGGAAGTAATACAACTAAACAAACTTGGTAAATTATAAACTTGTGTTATCTAACTTCAACTGAGCATTCACTGTAGTAAAATAATCCTTTTTTTCCTCCTTGATTGATTCCCTATCTAACTCCTCACAGCAGCTAAACCAAAACCTTCTCTTCTCTCCTCAAGTCTCTCACATTTCCCTCTACCCATTTTCAGCTAGAGAAAGTAAAGGATCTTGCCTTCTATTTTACCAAGAAAATTGGTAAGCATCTCATTTACCATGAGCTACCTCTTCTCCTCTTCTTTTTCATCTCAAAATTCAAAATGTTCTCTCCCACTCTGCCCTCCTTTCTCCCAGTCTCTGAAAATCAGACAGCTTTTCTTCTTGTCAAGCTCTATATATGTGCCCTTGACTCCATCCCTTTCTGTTTTCTCCACAGATTGCAATCTCAATTGGTCTCTCTCAGCCTCAAGTCTTTCTTCTCCAATTCACCCTCCTCTTAGTGTCTAAAGAGATTTTTACTGAAGTATAGGTCTGACCATATTACCCCTTTACTCAATATGCTTCACTGTTACCCATGGGATCAAATATAAAGTTACTAGCTGACATTTAAATCTCTTCACAGCTTGGCCCCTTTTGACCTTTTGAGTCTTCCTGTACTTAACTGCCCTAAATTCACTCTATAATTCACTCTCCACTGGCCTACCTGCCATTCCTCACTGTCTTTTTCCTGACATAATGGATTTGAACTAAGTGTTCTCAATTTCCTGGAATGCTCTCCTTCCTTCCCTCTGCCTCGTGGCTTCTCTGGTGTCCTTCAAGATTCTTTTCAAATCCTACCTTCCTCAGGAGTCCTCTCCCATCCCCAGCCCCTTCCCATCAACCACTGTTAGTACCTTCCCTCTGAAATTACTTTCCATTGATGATCTATATGTATGTATATGCACATCTCTGTCTGTCTGTCTGTCTCTATCTCTCTGTCTCTCTCTCTCTTCTTCCCTTCTACCTTTCCTCCCTCCCTCCCTCCCTCCCTCATTATTTTCCTGTTTCTCCTGTTGGATGTGAGCTCTTTGAGCTTAATAGAGGCTTTTGATCAATTGATTGACCTCTCCTCAGTAGGTATCCCAGCATTTTAGGATCATAGGTTTAAAGCTGAAAGGATTTTAAAAATCACCTAATAAAGGTCTACTGTTAAATATTCAATTCAAATCAATAAATAGTCCTTACATTTGTATTATGTACCAAGTGCTGTGCTAGCCACTAGCTCTCTTTATAGAGAAGTCTCTGGAGGGAAACAAAGGCTCTGGAAAGATGAAGACATGTAGAGGAACTGATACCTTAATCATGTCCCTTTCTCAGCTTGCCTCCCAAGAGACTTCAAGGAATTTCCCCCTGAATGAGATTGAGGACTCTCTCACTCAGTTGAATTGAGATTTCTTGCTCCCAGTGGGAGAACTAATTCACTGCCTATTGTGTGGTACATTCTCATCTGTGTAACTTCTCAGATTTCCATTTGCTATTGGATTGGATAAATGGGTTGTTTGTTATTCACTCTGTGTGATGGTCTTTGTGTAAGTGGTATTTGGTGAAAAAGGAGTCAAAATTTTGGATATAGCTTGGGGCACTCATTTTCTGTCATTGAATATCAATCAGGAGAACAGCTTGAATCTAAAGTTTCCCTGGGCTAAAAATAATTAATCGAGTAGATGGGTATAATTCTACCTCAGAACCTGCTCTCTGAATAGAGCAGAGCAGCTAGCCTTGTGGTACCAATCTGTCTGCCTGGCAAGAATCAAATTCTCTCTGGGAGAAGGTAAGTAAGGGTTAGCCTAGAAGTATCTATTTATGTCTCCTTGTAAGCCACATTTAAACAAACTGTGTGGACACACACACTCTACATATAAATACTTACCAGGCAAAAGGATTTATTGATATTCTTAGTATCTAACTGCAGCATATTTCCAATAATTGGAAGAGGAGTAGGCCCAGGTGGGAACTTTCCTTTTCCATAGCCCTTTCTCCATACTGAAATGAGAAGCAGACAGAGTACCAGGCTAAGTGCAGTGACCACAGATGGATCCATGGGATTTTTTCCTTACTGCTGCAACACTGGAGAGTTTAGAATCCCAAGCTTATGAGAAATACACAGGAGATCAGCAAGCCAACAACTACATGTTGTCTTGGGCAATTATGGTTTTACTTCTCATGGACTTCGACCTGCTGGTAAAGATAAAAAGGTGAGAGAGTCCTTTAATTTATTTTGAATTTTTGATGGAGACCATATCTACATAGTCAATTACTTGGTAACAAACTGTCTCTGAGAAATGGCCATTCATTACCTGGTCATTTTTAAATGATAAAGTTATTTATTTGAAAGAAATTCCTGAAGCAAGGTACTAGCTAGAGGTGGGAGACAACAGAAGGGCTTGTTTTTTTTTTTTAAATCCTCTATTTATATCTTTTGCTTTTATATCTCACCTTCCTTCCCTCCCCAGAGAGCCATCCCTTAAAGCAGACTATAAGTGTGTATGTGTGTGGGGAGGGGGAGGGATCCATTCAGCAAAACCACCACATCAGCCAAGTCTGACAGTATACGCTGTGTTCCATAGCCATTGTCTGAACTCTGCAAAGAAGAGAAGGAGAATTTCTTTTTCCAGGGTCAAGCTTGATCTATATAATTATACAGTGTTCAGTTTAGTTTTTGTGGTTATTATTCTTTTGGTTTACATTGTTGTATTATGCATATTAAGTTCTGCTTGCTTCACTTCGCATCAGTTCATGTCACTCCTTGCTTCTCGATATTCTTCATAATTATCATTTCTTAAGGTGCATTGATAATCCACTTCATCATGTATCACAACTTATTAGCTATTACCCAATTACTGACATCTACTTTGTCTCCATTTCTTTATTACAACAAAAAGCGCTGCTATAAAGATTTTTATGTAGTTGGCATTCCAATAGAAGAATGAATTCTCAGAACTGTCCCCAGTGGCTATGGGCCATTATAAAAGGTGACATTTATCTTTGATACGTTTTAAAAATCATTCTCCTTATCAGTTTCTTTCTAAAAAAGATAGATTTTTATATCTTTTGTTTTTACATCACCTAGATTTCCCCCCTCCCAGATATCAATCACTTACTTTTAAGAAATCCCTTAACTTTTAAGAGGAAAAATATCAGCAAAACTGACCAATATATGGGAAGAAAAATCTGAGGTGATATGCAATATTCCACCAGCATGGATCCCTCCCCCAACTCCTGAAAGGAGGTGGCAAGGTCTTTGGGTGGAGCTTGCTCACTATAATTTCGTAATATTCATCTTCTGATCTGTTTTATGTTTGTCCTTTCCATTTACATTGATGGTTTCTGGTTTAAATGAATACTTTAACGGGAGTGGGGTAGGACTCTGAGGAATTGCATACACACTGCGATACCAGGAGAGGTGAAATGACTTGCCCCAGGCCACAGAAGAAGCACAGACTCCAAATCCAGCCCCTCCTTTAAATTTCATCGCGTTGTATTTACGTTAGCAATCTCGCGGTGTTCTTTTTTAAAGCCATTGAGAAAAGTACTCTATGGCCATAGAAATGGGTTGTTATTAATCTAAGCCTGTTCTCTTCGGAAAGAAACCAGGGATCAGAGGTTTTGAGCTATCAGAAAGGGGTATTAGAAACACCACGTACCATTTCCTCTTTAATTGTGATTTAGCCAAGTCACAGAGCTAAGCCGATGGGTAAGGGTGCAGATGAAGGTCCTCTGACTTCAGATCCAGAGTTTTACACTTTATCACCGACCAGCCATTCCCTCTTAGCAAAAGGGCGGGTACCCTATGCACTGACCTGTGTACTTCTCTGCTAAACCTGGTTCTCCACTCTCTCTCTCTGTGAATGTGGGACCCACACCAACTTCCGGCTAATTCAGATGCTAAATAGAAGCAAATCTATTCTCCTTCTCTCCAAGACTAGGCTTCACCATGTCTTCTTTTGCTCTTTTCGTTTCAGTATCTCCGCTTCCTTCCCAAGCATCCGGATTTCTAAACTACTACCAACACACGAAATCTCGACCAATAGGACCGAGATTGCCTTTGACCTTAATCCTGGGGCTTTAACTGGTCGTCTCCTGAAGTTAGGCGAAACAGAACAGGACAGAACAAAACAGCACAGCAAAAGGGAGTTGGGAGGGGTTAGGAGGGTGAAGGGAGAGGCGGTGTTTATTCATTAAGTCACACTAGCCTCCACACTAGATTGAACAAACTAACTTCCCAAAGAACTATTGGGATTTTCAGGCGGAGAAACTTTGATCTAATTCGTGGTGGTGTCACGGAAAGACCTCTGAATTCTAATTCATAAATCTCAGACCCTGAAGGGATTTTAAAGGCTACTAGTCATGACATCCCTGGCAAGCATTCATCTATCTTCTGCTTGCAAACCTCTGTTGATAGAGAGCCCACGCCCCCCTCTACTCTCTTTTGGAGAGCTCTAATTGTTAGGAAGTGTTACTATGTTGCATAATTTCATATTGCTTTCAAGTCTGATAGACATTTTATGCTTTCATCACAGTAGTGGAAAAAAAAATGTTGAGCAGTTCAGGACCAAGAACAGATTCCCTGGGACCCTTTCCAGTTGACATCTTCCTATTAATGATTACTTTTGGAATATGGTCACTCAAGCAGCTCTGAATCTACATAACTATTGTATCACCTAGCCCAAATCTTTCCATCTTGTCCCCAAGGGTAACCTAAGGGATTTTGTCAAATATATATACTATTGACACATATGTCTACATCTGCATCTATATATATCAACAACATTCCCCAATCATCCTGGATTATAACTATGGAATCATCTGTTATTCTTTTTCTTTATCAATTTAATTTAGTTTTTATTCTGCACTTAGGCACCAAAACAAACAAACAAACAAACAGGCATTTCTATATATAAAGTAGATCAGATTCTATATGGTTTCACAGATCTCAGTTACAGGCAGCTCCCTTTTTAAAGTCCATAAAATATCTGTTACCTTTTAAACTTTACTACTTTGTCTTTCTGAACTTCCTTTTTATCTTCTGTGCTTTTTCTGTTAAATGACTCTTCTTTAGGGTAGAACAACACTATCATTACAGGCATACCTCAGAGATATTGGAAGTTCAGTTCCAAACCACCACAATACAGCAAACATTTCAATAAAGTGAGTCATACAAATTTTTTTGTTTCTCAGTGCATATAAAAGTTATATTTATACTATACTGTAGTTTATTAAATGTGAAATTGTATTATGTCAAAAACATATATACCTCAATTTAAAAATACTTTATTGCTAAAAAAATGTTAACCATCATCTAAGCCATCAGTGAGTCATAATCTTTTTATTGGTGGAAGGTCTTGCCTGGATGTTGATGGCTGCTGATTGATCAGGGTGGTGGTTGCTGAAGGTTTGTGTGGTTGTGGAAATTTCTTGAAGTAAGACAACAATGAAGTTTGCCACCATCGATTGACTCTTCCTTTAGTGAAAGAGTTTTCCATAGCATGTGATGTTATTTGATAGCATTTTACCCACAATAAAACTTCTTTCAAAATTGGAATAAATCTTCTCAGACCCTGTCTCTGTTTTATGAACTAAGTTTATGTAGTATTCTTCAATATCATTGTGTCTCAGGGAATAGGAAGGCCCAAGGAAAAGGAAAGCAATACAAGGGAATGGCCAGTCAGTGGAGCAGTCAGAACACATAAAACATTTATTGGCTAAGTTTGCTGTCTTATGTGGGCATGGTTAGTGGTGCCCCAACACAATTACGATAGTAACATCAAAGATCACTGAATACAGATCACCATAACAGATATAATAATTTTAAAAAGTTTGAAATGTGAGAATTACCCAAATGTGACACAGAGATGTGATATGAGCACATGCTGTTGGAAGAATGGTGCTGATGGACTTGTTCAGTGCAGGGTTGCCACATACCTTCAATTTGGAAACAACAATAACAACAACATCTTTGAAGTACAATAAAGCAAAGTGTAATAAAAAAGAGGTATACCTGTACTATCCTATCTCTTCAATTCCTTCCCATACCTCACTAAAAGAATAAAATCCTTGCAACTTATAGCATAGTCAAGCAAACTGAATCCATGCTTTGGCCATGTCCAAAAATGTGTCCCATTCTGTACCTTGAGGCCATTAACTTTGTCGGGAGGAAGGTTCATCACTGATCCTTTAGACTTGTGGTTGATCATTGAATGGATTAGAGTTCTTAGTCTTTCAAAATTTCTTTCCTTTACAATGTTATTGTTACTGTACAAATTTTTACTTTATAAAATGGTTCTGTACTTTGGATAGAGCAGCTTTAATTGCATGATCAGTTTGGAAACCAGATTGCAAAGGATTGAGAATTAATGAAAAGACAGCAAAAGGAAACAGTAAATGGCATCAGCTTACTTCCCAGGCTCCTCTGAAATGGACATTTCTTTCAAAACAAGAATATTACATTATATTCATATACTGTGATTTGTTCAGCCATTCTTCTTGATGGGTACTTCCTCTGCTTCCAGTAATTTGCTAAAACAAAAAGAACTGCTATAAATATCTTTGTCCATATGAATATTCTTTGTTATCATTTCATCTCTTTGGGATATTGGCCTGGGTAATCAAAGGGCATGTATAATTTGATAACTTTTGGGGTATAGTTCCAAATTGCTTTCCAGAATGGAAAGGACCGTTTGACTGTTATTCCAACAGTGTGTTGGTATGCTTGTTTCCCCATATAAAGTATAAACTTAGAGTTGTTTTCATTTCAATTTCCCCCTTAGTGATTTGGAGCATTTTCTCATATGGCTCTTGGTAACTTGGATTTCTTCATTTGACAATTTGCTATTAGTATCTTGTCCAAATATATTGAAAAATGGTTCTTAGACTTACAAATTTGAAATAATTCTTTACATAGCTTGTAGATTAGGCCCCTATTAGAGAAACTTGCTAGAAAAAATTCCTCCATTTGTCTCCTTTCTAACTTCACTAACTTTGTTTAAATTTTATATAATCATTGTCAATTTTCTATGATCCTATCTATCCTGTTTTTGGTCATGGACTCTTCCTGTCTGTGATTATGAAAGGTATTTCCTTCTTTCCTCCTCTAATATGTTCATGATGAGTCCCTTTTATATATAGGTCATGTATCCATTGGGAGTGGATCCTGGTATGTAGTGTGAGATATTCATTTAAACTTAATTTCTCTCAGACTTCTTTCTAACTTTCCCAGAAGTTTTTAGTGAATAGTATTTACCCCAGAGTTAGAGTATTTGAGTTTCTTAAATAAATACTAGTATGTTGCTTTTGTATATTGTATACCTAATCTATTGGACAGACAAATTTCATTATTTTTTTCAGTTCTATAAGGTAATCTTCCAATAGTTTCATTGCTATGGAACTGAATAAGTAAATTAGCTTAGGTAGTATTGTTATTTTATCAGATTAGATTGGCCATTGAAATATAACCATGTACCATCATCTTCCCAATTATTTAAGTCTTTATTTCTATAAAGGTGATTTGCAGTTGTATTTCCCCATTTTATTTTTCTTGTCTTGTTGCTATTTCTAGCATTATATCATATAATAATTGTGATAATGGATACCCTTGCTTTACTGCTGATCTTATTGGAAGTGACTCTAGCTTATCTCCATTACATATCATACAGGCTTTTGGTCTTAATATTATTTACCATATAAAGCAAATTTTCATTTATTTTCATGCTTTTTATGTTTGGTCAAATCCTTTTCTGCATCTCAATGCAATCATGTCATTTTAATTATTTTCGTTTTTAATATGGCCTGGTATGTTTTCTTAATGTTAAGCCAATCCTGTATGACTGGTATGACTAATATTCCTTCTGCCTCACTCTCTTAGAGCAAGGCCAGATACAGCCCTACTCCCCTTAGGATTCTACTGGTACCACGGAAGGGACAGAGTATGTCTACATAGCAGATACTGTGATAAGCAAGGTATTATTACCCTCATTTTATAGTTGAGGAAAGTGAGGCAACAGAGATTAAGTGATTTGCCTAGGGTCACACAGATCTGATGCAAGATTTGAACTCCAGTCTTCCTGACTCCAGCCCCAACATTCTATCCACTATACCATCAGCTTGCCTCTGACATTAGTAATTTGGTTTTCCTCTCTCTTTTTCAATCATACTGGCTAATGATTTGTTTATTTTTATTGACTTAAACAGCTAATTTGTATTTGCTACTTCATTTGTCCTTTAAATTTTGTTAATTTAACATTTGATATTCAGAATTTCAGTTTTGTTTAGCTGATGATTGTTTCTTACATGCAGTTTTCTAGGTGGTTAAACTGATAGTGGTTTTTTTTTTTAGTTGTGTGCCCAATTAATGGATGTGTTATTTCTCTTTTGTTAGTGGGAATGTTCAAAGACATAAAATATCCTCAAAGGATTGCTTTGGCTGCATCAAAAAAAAAGTTTCAACAAGCTGTTTCACTGTTGTCACTTTATTTGAGGAAATGATCTATTGTTTTTATGATTTGTTATTTGACCCATGAATTCTTTGTTGTTGTTTAGTATTTTCACTTGTATCTGATTCTTTGTAACTCTACTTGGAAGAGATACTAGAATGCTTTGCCATTTCCTTCTCCAGATTATTTGACAGATGAGGAAACTGAGGTAAACAGGATTAAGTGACTTGCCCAGGGTCACCAGTTAGTAAGTGTCTGAGGCCAGATTTGAACTCAGGAAATTAGGGCTTGATGTATTGTTTTGTTGTTTGTCTAGACCAGGGGTGGGGAGCCTGCCACCTCAAGGCCACATGTGGTCCTCTAGATCCTCAAGTGCAGTGCTTTAACTGAATCCAAACTTCACAAAACAAATCCCCTTAATAAAAGGATTTGTTCTGTAAAACTTGGACTCAATCAAAAAATCACACCCAAGGACCTATAAGGCCACATGAGGCCTTGAGGCTGCAGGTTCCCCACCCCTGGTCTAGACATTAAAGTGGTGGAAAAGATGTTAAACTTACATACAGTTATCCCTTCCACTTTGTGGGAGTCAAGTCTTCATAAAATTTTTGCCCTTCCCATCATACCAGAGAAGAATTCTGAATTATTATGATGTTAAAAGATAGACTATGTTGGTATTATACAATACTATATACATATATATATATATATATACATATACATATATATATATGTACATATATATATATATATACATATATATATATATATATATATATATATATATATATATGCATTTCTGAGTTTCAAAACTTTTCCTTTGTCATCTGCTAGCCTTTGTGTGTCATCTGTAGCTTCTACAAAACTCCCCCAAATTCCCATTTAATTTCTTACATCAATCCAGGATATACTGAAATCCCAATGTGGAAAGTCACAATATGGAAGGGATAACTGTATTAAGCTTAAAAGTGTGTTTTGTGTACATTTTTTTCCCGAGAGTCAATTGTTAGATATTTACTAGCACACTCCTTTTTATACCTATTCTTGATGAAATCACTATGGCATCTCTTCCTTTTTTAAGTGATCATTCAATATTTATCTAATTTTTTCATAGGAATTGAAATCAAGCTCATTGGCCCTTTGTTTGCACTCTGTTCTCTTCCCTTTTATGGAAACTGGAACCTCTTCCAGTCCTTCCACAACTCTACAATTTTTTGATGCTCACACCTGGTCCTTTAGTATCTGAGAAGGCAGTTCTTCTGGGCCTGGCGATTTGAATGATCAAGGGTCAACTAGATCATCTTTTACTACCTTGACTACTTATTTTGTTTTTTGTTTTTGCTTTTTGCTAGGCAATGGGGTTAAGTGACTTGCCTAGGGTCACACAGCTAGTCAGTGTTATGTGTCAGAGGCTGGATTTGAACTCAGGTCCTCCTGAATCCAGGGCTGGCACTCTATCCACTGCACCACCCAGCTGCCCTTGACTACTTATTTTGGATATCAGTTGCCTGGTAGTAATTTTTCTTGTGCTGTTTGAAGTCCACAGATCATTCTCTTTGTCAGAAAAGACAGAAACAAAATAAAATGATCTGCCACATCCAGCCTTCATTTGAAGACCTCTTGTGAGAGGGTACCCATTATCTCCCAGGGTAACCCAGTATACTGTTTTACAATTCACTTGTTTGGAAGTTCATCTTACTTTGAACAATATTGCTAACTTTTAATTTCTATACATTTCTTCTAATTATGCTTTTAAAGGACTAAATAAATAATGAGCTAGGAAATTTGAATAAAAATCCACAATAAGAAAGATAAATAATAAAGATGATGAGGGAAAGCAAATATTTTTAGGAAAAAAAGTAAATAAAATGAAAATTTAAAAGCTAATGAACATAACAAGGTGAAAGGGAGGAGAGGAAAAAGGATTCTACTTGCCTACTTAATAGAGAGGAAAAAAAGCGAGAAGAATCAAATAATTAGGTTAAAAGCAAGAAAAAAAGGAAGCAAAATTCCAAAACTAGGGGAAAGAATTATAAATAGGAAGGGGCAGGGCTTGAGGATGAAGGGAAGAGAGATAGTGAAAGTAGGGTTGCCTTAAGATTGTTAACTGAAGAGATATAGTACTCTGTTTATAGAGAAAGTTGTAAGGGGGATCCCAATTTGAAAAAAAAATTAGAGATAAATGGAGAAAAATATAAACTGAAGTTTCATAACCTTAATGTGGATGGTTGTAACCCCTCGGAGCCCTAGGATTTTGAGATTAATAAACAAGTATTGGTTTTAATTTTAAAATCTCCTCCTGCATTACTTCCCAATAAATGTATCAGGTGATCCTTAGACACTTGAAATTCACATTAAATTTTTTCTTTCTTAGAAGTGTACATTTTTGAATACTTTTGCAGAATAAGCCTGTTTCATACATATTAAAAGTTTTGAACGATGTGTCCACTTTCCTTGATTATTTTCCTCAAAACATCATCATAATAATAGCACTTCTATAGAACCTACTATGGACCAGGCACTGCACTAAGAACTTTACAAACATTTTCTCTTTAATCTCATAACAACTCTAAAAGGTAGATGTTATTGCTATCCCCATTTTACAGTTGAGAAAATTGAGACAAAAAGAGTTTAAGTGACTTTTTCAAGGTCACACAGCTAGGAAGTGTCTGAGACCAAATTTGAACTCAGATTCATGCTGATTCTGAGACCAGAACTCTATCCACTGTGCCCATAAATGCATAGATTAACATGAATAAGCTTCCATGCGCTCCTCTGCACAGGGCTTTTCTCTGCTAATTTTAACTTTATGCAGTTGGTCTCTGCTTCTCTCTATCTCTCTCTACCTTTGTGTCTCTTATTCTGTCTGTATCCCCTCTGACTTTGTCTCTGTATTTCTGTCTTTTATTGTCTCTATCTCTCTCTTGCTCTGTTTCTATGTCTCTTACTGTCTATCCATGAATGACATCTGTATAGTTACCTACCTACCTACATCCATCTATCCGTAAATCCATACATCCATACATATGCTAATAATTAGGACTAGCACAGCTGAGTGTGCCTGTGTGACTATTCAGAGAAAAGTCA